AACGCGTCTCGAGTTTTGGCCGCCTCCACCGGTCCTCTGGCCCACTGTGCGCCATTCCGTCCGCCACCGTCGCGCCACCAAGCATCAATACTCCGCCTTATCGTGTCTTCCGCGCTCCCGGATCGCCGTAAAAGATGAGTTGAAATCCAAGTTTCCCACAAGAGTCGTAAACATGGCTGCTTTGCGTCCGCGGGCGTTGTTCTCCAACTTGGGCCGTGCGTTCGACAGGCCGATAAGGCAGCTAAACAAGCGCCCTGCCGAGCAGTCACTCCACCGCAAGGAATCTAGCTCGCACAGTGGGCTGACCGGTGGAGGCGCCAAAGCTCCAGACGCGTTTCGAGCTCCAGAGTCGCTTAGTAGGACTCGAACCGAACGTGTGACCCTACCAATGGATTCCTCGTTCGGAGAGCAATCCATTGGTGGGGTCACACGTTTGGTTCGAGTCCTATTTAGCGACTCTGCAGCTCAAAACGCGTCTGGCATTTTGGCCACCCACCCTCGTTATTACTGGCGATGACGCAACGGCCGCATCGACTGATTGGACGAAGTGAGGGACGTCAGACGTCAAACCACAATGGAAAATCCTCCAATTCGAAACAACACGGAATAATTTAACGTTTAAGCTGATAAGTGGCTCATAACTTAGCCATACGAATTAATTGCATTTGCATGGCCGCTCCTAACCCACAGCGACCGCAACACTGGCCAATGGATGGAATTGCGGTACACGCCAAAAAAACCGATTCATCCCACAAAAAAAGGGGGAAAAAACAGTCAAATTGTTTTTGGTCAGGACATCCATCACGCCGCGGCGCGCTGCGGGGCACTAACAAACCAAGCGACGTTTAAACTGACGTTCCCTGATTGGCTGACTCGACCTAATTCCTCTGTAAGCCCAGCTATTTGTTCCGCCGCCCTTCTTGATGAGAAACGCGCCCTTTCCTATTCCGCAAGGAAAAAAAATAAACAAAAACAAAAGCAACAACAGTCCGTCTCCCCGTGCGGCCAGGGAGCAGACGACAGAGATGAGCCTCGCCACTTGACACTCGGCTCAGCAGGGAGAAGCCTCCTCCCTTATCGCTGCCAGATAAAGTCAATGCTGAGGCAGGCAGGCAGGCAGGCGGGCAGGCCTCTTGCGGGAGAGATGACGGGTCACGGAGACGGAGACTACAACGCTCAAAACTTTCAATTTGTGGCCGCTTGCCTCGAATCCAAGAGTAAACAATGAACAGCCCCCCACCCCCAGCGGCGGGATAGAATCAAAAGGACGCATCAAGATCTCGTCAGAGGGCGGCAAAAGCACTACACCCGGACTGCGGCGTTTAACAAACGGCCCAAACACGCAACGAGAAACAACTTAAAACTCGATTCAAAAAACTTGCCGAAAGAGTAAAGTTTGGCCGTATCGCGATACTGTCCTGGGCAGACGCCAAAACCAATTTGAACCGAGCCTCACCCTCCCGCGGAAACAGCACCTATGTGGGGCGTACACTGCGTAAACGGACCGCAACGGCCGACCGCGTGCTCAGTATCACTTTGGGCGGGAACAGCAAAGACAAACTAGAAAGAGACGACGGCAAAAACGGAACGCTCTCCAAGGCGTTGGGGGGCGAGTGCTCGCTCAGACTGTGGTTATCGAGCAGATCTTTCCTGATTCTCACCTTTCAATTCAGGACATGACGCTTGTAAAAAAAATGGCGGCATTTCCAGACGAATAAAAAGGCGGAGGATTGACTGAGGGGGCTGCCCGGTCGCCTCGACGCACAGTGGGCCAGAAGACCGGTGGAGGCGGACAAAACTCTAGACGTGTTTTGAGCTCCAGAGTCGCTAAACAGGCCTCGAACCGAACGTGTGACCCCACCAATGGATTGCTCTCCGAACGAGGAATCCATTGGTGGGGTCGCACGTTCGGTTCGAGTCCCATTTAGAGGTTGTAGAGCTCAAAACGCGTCCAGAGTTTTGTCCGCCTCCATCGGTCTTCTGGCCCACTGTGCGGCGGCCGGCCCCACTGCACTCCGATGGACTCGCTCCCCGCTGGCACCCTGCTCTGCTCATCACGCATTCCGAACGCAGTCGGGGACGTCCACGGCAAGGCGGTGGGCCAGGCAGCCGTTCAAAAAAGGAAGAAAATAAAAATTGGAAGCGCGAACAATTTTGCATGAGGGCAGCGCGGCGAAAACCAGAAGTTTTTTCGGCGTTCTTTATTTTTTTTTTGTTCTGTAATTTTATTTTTTTTCGTGCTCTCGGAAGGTGGCACGGGAGTGGAGTGACCCCGGAAAAGCCCGGCGTGCTCCGAGGCATGCTCGCACCGGCCGGCCGGCACACCGTGGTGACCACGTGCCGCACAAGGGAGGAAAGGGTGCTCGGGAAGTTTTAAGCCACAAAGACAAGGGGCCGCCGGCCTCGGCCCCGCCCGGCGCACGGTGGGCCAGAAGACCGGTGGAGGCGGCCAAAACCCTGGACGCGTTTTGAGCTCCAGAGTCGCTAAACAGGCCTCGAACCGAACGTGTGACCCCACCAATGGATTGCTCTCCGAACGAGGAATCCATTGGTGGGGTCACACGCTCGGTTCGAGTCCCATTTAGCGACTGCGGAGCTCAAAACGCGTCCGGGATTTGGTCCGCCTCCGCCGGTCGTCGGGCCCACTGTGCAGTGTGCCCCTGAGTGCCCCCGGGGCAGCGCGTACCACGCCGAGCCCTGCGCAGCACCCACCTGGGCACCGCCACCAGAGATAAACCATATCGGGTGTACCCCCCCACTCCTGTCGACCGGCGACCCGCCAGCGACCCGCCAGCGACCCGCCAACCCCGGACAGGCCGCAGTTTACGGGGCGCCCGACAAAATTACGGCTGTTTTTCGCGCGGAAACACCCAGAACCGATTCGCGGGGCGGCCACTAGTTCGCCAAACAAGTACACACTCACACACACACACTCACACACACACACACACGTATACACACACACAAAAGGGCCATCCGATGCGACGAGGCCGTCAAATAAATATTGCGCGGGAAAAGTGGTGGGCCATTCGGCCGTTGGGCGGCCCGTTGGGCTAATGGGGCGTGGCTGCAGCCAAAGGCGGGATTATGCAGCAGCGGCAGCAGCAGCCGTCGTCGTCTCGATGCCCCTGCAGTTTGCATAATTTTACGGCTGACGGACTTGGCTGAGCGGCGCTGTCAAACAGCACTGCGCACCGGACAGGTGCGTGCGTCTGTGTGTGTGCGCGTCTGTGTGTGTGTGTGTGTGTCTGTATGTGTGTGTGTGTGAGTGCCCGGCGGGGTCGGCAGGGGAGCACACGGAAAGTAGGTCGTGTACAGGAGCGAGAGCGAGGAAGTCAAGCTGGCTGGCGGCGCATCCATGCCACCGGAGCCACGGTTAAATTAGTTATTCTCTGGAATTGCGCAGTGGGTCAGCAGACCGGTGAAGGCGGCGAAAAATTCTGGACGCGTTTTGAGCTCCAGAGTCGCTAAATGGGACTCGAACCGAACGTGTGACCCCACCGGTGGATTGCTCTCCGAACGAGGAATCCACTGGGTCGTGTCACACGCTCGGTTCGAGTCCTGTTTAGCGACGCTGGAGCTCAAAACGCGGCTGGAGTTTTGGCCGCCGGCGCCGGTCTTCTGGCCCACTGCGAATCACTGACTAAATTTCAGTTTTAAGGCCAATGGGTAACGCGGTAGCATCCCCCACCCTTTTCTTAACACACAAGCACAAGCGCACGTTCTGAAAAAGAAAAAAAAAAAAAAAGATTGGCCGTGACGCTAAGACAGCCCCGAGTATCGGAAATCGACGGGACTGCTCGCGCAGACACACCTGTCGATGCCTGCGCCTGACGCGCCGTGAGGCGCACGGCCCCAGGCGCAGGGCCCAAGGCCAGTGCGGAAACAGTTAAGCCCGAAACAGAGCCGGCGAGGAGCAGCACGGTGAGTTATGGCACCAGCCGCCAGACGCACGTCCATCCCGACATCTCAAGGGGCGAAGCGCGACGCGCGATCGGGAGAATCATGGACTACATCATTGCGAGAAATGGGATCATCTGGGCGGAAAAAAAAGGGAGATGCGGGGTGAACTTAAGCAAACCACATGGTCTATCATGGGAGGAGGCCACTTGCTTTGGGGTCGTCTGGCCCACTGTGAGGGGGTTGCCCTCCCTTCCAGTGCGGGCAGTCAATCCACATTGGAATTTTGTAAAGCTCATAGAGGCGCCTGTCGTGCCGTTAACTTGCAGGACAGGGCCCGCATCGGGAGCAGGGCGGGGCGGGGCGGGGCGGGGCGGGGCGGGGCGGGGCGGGGCGGGGCGGGGTGGGCGAGGCGTGACGCGAGACGAGAATGAGGTCTGGCAGTCCAGCGATGTGTGTGTCGATATGTGTGTGTGCGTCTGCGCCCCACTGCTAGGCCCCGTGCAGGCTGTGCTGGCAGTGTGCTGGCAGCGTGCTGCCAGGCCCGCCACCCACTCGCCGGCAGACGCACGGCTGCCACGACTCCGGGATGAAAACCGGATCGCTTCCTTAGCCCGTGTCTGTTTACAGTGGAGAGACATGCGTGGGCCGGATGGGCCGCCTCCACCAGGTAATTTCTTTCGTCCGCCTGTCCCCGAAAGCGAGAAGGAGACGCCGGTCGGGAAAGAAACTCCTCTCGGCTCGGCAAAGCCCCCATGACGCGGGGCAGCCCACCCCCGGGGCGTTTACAGTGGGCCAGAAGACCGGTGGACGCGGCCAAAATACCGCACCCGTTTCGAGCTCCAGAGTCGCTAAATGGAACTCGAACCGGACGTGTGACCCCACCAATGGATTCCTCATTCAGAGAGCAACCCATTGGTGGGGTCACACGGTTCGAGTCCGTTTTAGCGACTCTGCAGCTCAAAACGCGTCTAGAGTTTTGGCCGCCTCCGCCGGTCTTCTGGCCCACTGTGCGGGCTCTTAACACCCTCCGTCTGCCGGCGTGGCCCCGCCAAGCCTCGCAGAGCATCGCCCAGCTTTGCCACCACGCTGTGCCTCACCTTGAAGAGGCGCAGGATGTTGGCCACCATGATGGACACGACGCTGAAGGAGGCGCCGATGACGCCGGATACTGGCTTGTGCGGGTTGAACTGCGGCGACTCTCCGCGGGCGCACTTGTACTCGGACAGGTCCTGCGAACAACCAAAACAACGAGGCTCATTTCACCTTCATCAAGCAGGCAGTCCGTGGCGGCTGGGCTAAACGGATTGTCAAAACTCCATCTAAAGTGCAATGGCCCGAGAGGCGTCAGGGAAGTAAGAATTAGATCGTGGGGAAACCGCAGGAATAACCATTGGCCACACGAAATTTTTAACGTACAGCGCAACCCTTTTACTCTCGACATATTAGTCTGTTTAAATCGGTTTCATTTTCTTTTTCGTATTTCAACATACAGTAAACCTAATACGTCACCCTCCAAAAAGGCGGTCCGCTATACCCGTCCGGATATGAGTCCCTGAAAGGGTCCATGTCAACGCCCATGTCACTGTGCATTTCAGATCAGCAATTTGAAGCCAACAGTTCACGTTTGCATATGAAATCCCAATCCGGTCGGGGCCCCCGCGCCCCCACCCCCACGAGGGCATCGCGGGGAACGATTCGTCACTCGCTCGGCCGGGCCTTCGTCGTGGTGTAGAGGACAGCAGACTGTGTACACCGCTTTGTCGAGTGCCTGTAAACAGGGTCCGCGCCCCCGCTGGCCCCAGTGGCCCCCGCGCACAGTGGGCCAGAAGACCGGCGGAGGCGGTCAAAATCCCGGACGCGTTTTGAGCTCCAGAGTCTCTAAACAGGACTCGAACCGAACGTGTGACCCCACCAATGGATTGCTCTCCGAACGAGGAATCCATTGGTGGGGTCACACGGTCAATTCGAGTCCTATTCAACGACTCTGGAGCTCAAAACGCGTCCAGAGATTTGACCGCCTCCACCGCGGTCTTCTGGCCCACTGCGCCGCCCCACTGTTTTTTCTCACTAAGATACAGCGACTTTTTGCAGTGGAGCTATCAGCGTGCTGCCACAATGTTGTTGATCCCTCTCCAGCGGCCGCTGCCGCCGAGGCTGCCGCGCTTCCGACGGACCGATCAGTGGCGCCGTCCGTTTGGCGAGGCGCGGTGATCCCTCGGCAAACAACGCGCTCTGTAAATACACGAGTACACTGTTAAAAAAAATTTCTGAATTTTCAGACTAATTTGAGTGAAGTACTTTTACATAAACTCGTTATTAATTTTCAGACTCGTCTTGGTCTGAAAATGAAGTCTTAAAATTCAGACATGGCCAAGTCTTAAAATTCCCACTGCTTTGTAGCTGAAAATTCATACTTTTTGTCTAAAATTTTAGAACATACTGTGTGAATTCATCCTGCAGCAATCGTGCGGAAAGGGCAGCCTATTGTGGTGGTCTAGACGCTGGTTAGGGCGGACCTACTGGACGGATAACGATATTTCTCCTGTGAGAGACAGCAAACTTCAAAGCGCGCCGGGATTCCGCGCACGATGGACACCATCGCTACTCAAAAAATATCAGACGGGATGGTCCGCAGTAAGACTGCGGCACTCGTCGTACGAGGGTGAGATCACAGGTGAGGCGCCTCAACATCACGGAGGATCATGCGGGCACCCAACCTAATGACCGAACGCAGACGCCAGCGAGAGCCAAGATTGAAATGTGGTTTTATCGACTTCAGAGTAATATTTTGTTTCAAACTTATTGCTAAAGGCTAGAGCTGATAATTACTAAAGCAACAGATGATGCTGTTTGCAAAATTTATTTACTTTAATGAAATTAATCGGAAATACAAAGTGGCGATCTGCCGCGGCGCTCCAGGCGCCACCTAGCGGCAGGTCCCTGAAACGTAACTCCAGGCGGCTGCAAGCAAGTGGACCAAACCATTTGAGAAGTGATTGGTCCACAGTTTGCATTCAACAAGCTCCCTCAACATAACAACTGCCAATATCATAATGCTTTGATGCGCGACGTTTGATTTTGTATATCTGGTTTTGTATTAGTCAGCCTAATCTTAATTTTATGACTTCCCTCATTATGAAATTTCAGACTGGGTACAAATATTCAGACCAAGCACGGTCTCAGACTGCCCTGTCTGACATCTCAGACAAAAGTTATGAAATTTCATAAAAAGGTCTTAATTGGTGTTTCATAACGTCAAGTCTGAAAAAAGTTGTCTGAATTTTCAGAATTTTTTTAACAGTGTAGTTGTCGTGCATTATTGGCAGGCTGCTCGGCGAGCGGCGAGCGCGGCAAGCGCGGCAAGCGCAGCGACTGCCGTCTGTCTCTCTCACGGCCGCGCGGCACGCCGCGTGAGTGCGATAAGGACAGAAAACGACTCCCAGTGTGCTGACCCTGGCAGCATAATGGAGCCAAGAACGGCCCGGCGAAGCGGAAGCGGGAAAACAAATTCGCAGCGAGACGGATGGTTTAAACGCGGCCGTCACGTCGGCCGAGCAAAGGCAGCGCTGGCGCGGGCGGAAACGATGCAGCCTTGCCAAGCGGCCAAAGACGCGTTTTGAGCTCCAGAGTCGCTAAAAGGGACTCGAACCGAACGTGTGGCCCCATCAATGGATTCCTCCAGTCCGATTCCGCCCTAGTTTGGGAGCAGTATTGTCTCTGAGTTGATCAAAACGGTCGCAAGTGCCTTTGAAAAATCGTTTTTTGGGCCGACTTCAAGCAGCCACTGCCTCTGATCCGAGACGAGCCTTCGTACTCCCTCAAAAGGGCAATTGGTCTTCGGGCCTTCCTTTAGCATGCCTTTGCTACGGAGTGCGATTAACCGCCTTAGGGTGGGAGCAGTATTGCAGCAAATTTGATCAAACCTTTGAGAGCACCCCCTTAAGTGAGAACCGCTTGCTTTGAGTCTTGTTAAGAGGCACTGGAGCTGAAAGCGCGTCTACAGTTTTGGCCGCCTCCACCGGTCTTCTGACCCACTGCCGCGGCCGGGCAGGCTTTCCCAAGACAAACTAATGCTGCCGCGCTGGCCCTGTTTACGAGACACACCTACACCGCCAGGGGTGCGCGCTCGGCCGGCTGAATCATGGGAAATCACAAACATGGCTCTGGCTCGCCACCTAGCGGCTCTCGCGGTCCTATAGCGGCCAGCCCGGACCAGCCCGCGCAAGTTTACAAGGTTTGCTCTACGCCCATATTTACTCGCGTCTCTTTTTTATGGGAGTCGGTCGGACGGTGCGTGTGTGTGTTGCTCCAATGGCAATCAGGTTGCGTGCTACAGCCATCTGAAAACATCTGCCCCCCCCCCCTCCTCCCCACCTCATTTCAGCCGCCACCCTCCTTACTTATTCCCTTGTCCTTTTTCTTTCTGGCCTCCTTTCATCTTTTTTTTTCTCCTTTTTTCCTTCTCTCTCTCTCTCGAGCCGCTAATTTGCCACACGTCACGCGCCCGGAAGGGTCAGCTTGACATCCAGTTGACCTCGTTCTGCGCCCAAAACTTTTTTTCTCTCTCTCTCTCTTTCTATCCAAACGACATCTTTGGCGGTCCGGGGCGCAGCAGCGAGTCGGCCAAACAACGACACTCGAAATTCTTTTCACTCGGGCGGCGGGGCGGCGCGACACAGCAGCAAGCCTTGTTTTCTTTCCTCTCCTGCCAATAAAAATTCATATTTGTCTTCCCGGGCGTGGCGAGCCGCGCGCCGCCGGCCAAGTCGACCGAGTCGGCGACCGGGTCGGCCTGCCGACGGCCAGCCGAAGGAGAACTGCGGCCCACTTTCGGTCCCCAGTCAAACTTTGCGATGGAGTGGCCGCGCAAGTGCCAAGGCACTGCGAGGCACCCAGAACCGTTCGCCGGCTCCAATTGGTCCTCTCTCTCTTTTTTTTAAGGTGTCGCTCCCTGCATTGTGGATGAAGTTGCCCGCATTACACTCAGAGATCATCTGCACCGAATGGCCCCATCTGGAACTCGCGCCGCCTTTGACATCGTAGCCACGCCGTGCCGCGCCACCCTGCAGCCCCTCGGGGGGCGTACATTAGTTTCGTGCTTCCGACTGGAGGAGGGGGGGGGGAGAGCACCACGACAACAACATTTTCGTGCTGGATGTTGGGGCGTTACAAATGACCTGCGTAGATTTTTTCAGTTGCAAAAAGGAACTTCTTTTTTGTTATGTTTTGACGTTGAACTCTTTCAAATTGTCCGCAAAAAAAATAAAAAAGCCACAAAAATCTTAAAACCAACAAAAGTTTTAAAAAAATAGCGAAAATTTAAAAACAGCAACAATTTAAAAACAACAAAATTTTAAAACCAATAAAAATTTTAAAACCGACAAAAATTTAAAAACCAACAAAAATTTGAAAACCAACAAAAATTTTAAAGCCAACAAAAATTTGAAAACCAACAAAGATTTTAAAACCAACAAAGATTTAAAAACAATAATGTAAAGACAAAAAAGACAAGAAAAAAAGACACTTTCTTTAAATCATGATCTCTTTTCTTGAATTCGAAAGAAGCCACAGGCGTCGGAAAACGTCCCCGGATGGAATCCGGATGGAATCCGGCATCCGCGAATTCAGGCGGCGCCGGACGGATCCCTTCCCCCGATCGCCGGGAAACATGTGGAAACATGGCAACACGGCCGGCGGCGGAATTGTGGCGATGCAATATGTGACGCGGCCGACGCGACAGGCGATGCAGGGATACGTCTAAATTCATCCGGCGAAGCGATACGCCCGATATATCTCCCCCTCCGCGGCTGGCGGAGGGGGAGGCGCGAAAAAATAAAAATAAAAAAAGAAACGGCATGTGCCGCTGATGTGGTTCGAACCCGGTCCCTTTTATTCCACGCGTGCCGCTCGGCAAGCTGCCGCTCCGCACGACGCGGCACGACGCTGAGAAGGAAAAAAAGGGACTACAAACACCAGGTATAATGCGCACATAAAAGAAATTGTCGCGGAGGAGCAAAGAATAAGCATAATGCAAAGTCCAGGGGGAAAAAAGCACGTCCCAGGTGGCGGCCCGCTCGGCAGGCCGGAAAGACGGGTACACTGCAAAGAGAGGGGGAAGACGGGTGGAGGCGGCCGAAACTCTAGACGCGCTCTGAGCTCCAGGTCGCTAAATGGGACTCTAACCGGACGTGTGACCCCACCAATGGATTCCTCGTTCGGAGAGCAATCC